TTGGCTGGACAGAAACAAATGGCTTGATGTTGGAAAGCAATGCCAGGTAGTGCCTAACATTGCTCATTATTTCTCCTCTACGTCGGTGAGAACGAGGGAACATTGCCTTACACCCATTTTGCTGACGAGATCTTCACGCCAATGCAAGTCTGCTACCAAATCACCAACCTTTCATTCTGCTTGGGCACAAGCTATAGACACTTTTCTTAGTTGGCTGCCCTTATACAAGTGAAATTTATAGCCCGTCTACCGAGGCATGTTGTTCACCAGGAAGCTCAACATCAAGGCTAGCCCACTGGGGCACTGGCTCAGCTCACTAACTCGACTCACATTGTTGCAAGTAAGGACCTAGTTTACCATCACTTTGCACTTCCCTTTTATAACCTGCTTAGTTTTACGGTTAGGTGTTGGAGTAGAAGCAAATGATGTTAGTTCCAGGTACGCATGAAAGGAGGACAGACATGTCAGAACGAGGAATCGGTCCTTATAAGAGAATATAAATAACACCTCATGGCGGTATTTGGCCAAGGCATGTTCATTTAGTGAAACTGAGGACTTCAATTGACATCACTTATTTTAGGAGTCGCACCATATTCTTCAACCTTCTTTTCATCTGGTGGCGGACTGCTACTATCACTCCGCCCTTATGAACAGCCTTGTAAAATGCGGTGCTGAGGCACTGATTTAGTAAATGCTCAACTCATTACATATTTTGCTCTACAAGCGCAAAAGTATTAGGAGCGATCTTGCGCAACGTCAGCTAGCACTTCCTAAGCGAAGGAAGTTGAATTCCTTCTTTTTAAACTACTGTGTGGGTATTAAGATGCAGTGGTGATTACCGTCAACTAGAGGGAAGACCAGCCTTACTGCTGTTTACATTGCGGCACCACCACAAGCGACCAGACACATGGCTTCTACCATTGCGGGACAGTAAAATCAAAATGTCTGCAAGTTAGAAATGAGAAGTGTGGGAAATCCAGCCCCTTATTGTCTGCGGCGTTTTTTTATCTTCGGAATAATGTGCTATCTAGGAGTCCGTGTAACTAATCTTCCTTTGACTATAGTGGCTTGATATTGCAATTGTTCAATCAGTAGAGAGAAGAAAATCGGAAAGTGCGGAACTAGAGATAGGGGAATCATGGATTCATCACTGACTATGTTGAGCTACGGAACGCTTTTGTAAAGCATTACCAAATGTACTGCAAATGCCAGTTTCTGATAAATGAGCATGGCCAACTGATCATTAAACTATAGAAATTGAGGAATTTGAACGTCTCCTTCGTCATATTTTTTACTAAAATTCAATCAAATTTGTGTGATTCACTGCACACTTAAATTTTGCTTCGAAAGCACATGGAGCGCAAACATCACATGGAGCAGAGATGTCACGCGGAGCCTTTAGAGACGATGCGAAGGGTAGAAAAGGTGACACATCTGAGCAGGCAATTGAGTATCAAAGGAAGCGAAGAAATAGTTGGAGAAATGGGATTCGATGGCTGGCCATGTTTGCATCCGTGGAAGTGGGCACCGTGGACTGGTGTCATACAGGGTCCACAGTGTGGTGAGAAGAGTGCATGGTCATCATGGGTGGTGCCACAATGTGAGAAGCCTTGGAAATGGTCGTACCTGTGGTGGTAGAGAAGCCAGCTGACATTGAACAAGCTCTCCTTAACTACTTTTCTGCTATAATCCGAACTTTATAACACTAGTGCTAATTGTTTTTGGCAATATCTTAATAAAAATATTATGCACCAAATACTGCTGTGCTTTTCACATTATTAAGCAGCAATTATGTGGTACAAGGGCAAAGTGCAGAAGGGAGTATGAACTCAGTTCACCGAGCAAAAAAACCAATCATTTTGGCTGTTGGTTTGTAAGCCAGTCAAGTAGCCACTCTATTAGTCAGTAAAGTGGTTACTCAACCAAAGGAAAGAGTCTGATTAGGATTGGGACTGGTACTAGAAGGGAACAAAGAGGAATTGCAGGCGTTTCCATAACGAAATGGCTCTCTGGAATGGAAGGAGAGAATGCAGAGCGGGATAGCTTGAGTCTATTAA